ATTAAATTATCAAACCAGATCCAGTCTGCAAATTCTGGCCTCCTGCAGTGTGACAGTGGATGTCTTAATTTGTCATAAAAAATGGAAAGATCTGCAAATGTAGTCCGGAGAACACTAAATCATTAAGGTTTTCCATTTTCGGGATGTATATTGCAGGCTGAACTCTACAGGCAGGGCATTTCACAGACGGATATTTGTTTGGTTGTCAAAGGGAGGGAGAGAAAGCATGTAATTTTGCCTGTCAGACACCTACTGTAAGAAGCATGGTGAGATGCTGATTACATTTTCGTCTTCAATCCAGACAGAAGAACACTTCCAGAAACCAAGGGGGACAATGAAAGGCTCACAATGTGCCCCTTACAGCGTGCAAAGAGACAGAATGGAAAGCAGAAGTTATGCGAACATGGTTATGTTGAAGTTAGCTGTATGGTAAAGTCTACGCAAAAGCTTGGATGTGATTAGCTGGGTTGCTCTGTGCTCAGGAGAAGGAACACACTGTGCAGGAGCAAGCTAAACTGCTGATTTAATAAAGAAACAATATGAATAGATGGTCTGGAGCAGAAGCACCTGTAATAATGACCGAGGGCTTAACACGTGCAAAACAATATAAACAAATATGTGAAAGAGCCCGAGCTGACTTCTATCCAGAGTCCACCTTATGGTTTGTTTTTTCTGAAGTTTAGAGTTTCCTCTGACCTCTGCTGCCGCAAATGCATGAAATAAAGCAAATACTCCGCAAGTAAATAAAGTTCTCTCCTTTCTTTTGTTGTGTCAGATTTTGTGCCTCATATGAAAACATTTGGGGTATGAAACGTGGGGAATATTTCCCATCACATAACTGTTCACATACAAAATTAGCAGGCTGTGGTATTTTATTATGATACTGGGGAAAACAGCACTTGGCATGACCGGAATTACTACGACCCTGTGCAATGAACTTTCAGTCCTGTTGCCTTTTAAATGATTACTTTGAAGATGGGGACCGTCATTTGCTAACCTTAAAGTGACTTTGGTGCATCAAGATGGCGATAGAATGTCAATGAGACAGTTAGCCTGCTATCTGTCTGCTATCAGTTTAAAATTAAAAGGACTCAAGCTGGTTTGTGATAATATAGTAATTAACTGTGAAAAATTCCAACCCCCCGAAATCACAAATCTTTTGCGGTTTCCTGAACATCTGTTGGCTTCTACATACACAGAAATTCACATTAACTCCTTGCATTCAGAGTCAAGCCAGAAACTTCATTAGACTAAAGTTTTCCTAACTGAAACTGTCCTGATAGACACTGGTTTACTTCTGTTTTGGGCCTTTCTGTTTTCTTCCTCTCACAGGTCCAGGTTGGGTCGGGCAGACTGGGGAGGAGATATTATCGGTTCTTCCTTGGCCTTAAAAAGCAGCCCAGGCTTCCAATCTTTATCTGCTTAGCTGAGTGGTAATCAGGCCTCTTCATGAGCTTTTTTGTGTAGAGTATTCTTGTGTGCCAATGTTGTTTTTTGCTCCTTTTCCAGTACGTTTCCCAGTTGGCCCGAAAAGCCGCTGCCATCATAACCTACTCACCTGTTTCGTCAAGCTGGTTCATTCTTGGACAGCTTCCCTTGGAGCTGCCTCGGCTCCATCACCTGCCTGCCCTTCCTCCTGTTACCTGCCTGAAGCAAACCAGTATGCCCGTCCTGGACCCAATAGCCATCTGTTTACAACCGATCCTGAACATTTATTTTCCCACTTTTGGGAAGTGCAATTTCACCCACCAGTTTTCCGCTGGATCTAACTCTCATCTCCTCCCTCTTTCTCTCTCTCTCTCAATGGATCACCTCCTGAGGCTCTGATTGCGCCCTGAAACTCGCCCATCATTGTTGTTCCCTCTGGAGAGTTTCTCAGTGCAGTTTTCCTGTGCTTTTGGTTTTAGCTTTTGTGGAAATAAAATTGTGAGTAGTGCACAGTTCAGCCTCAGCCAAGCTTGCACCTTGACAAAACAGTACTGCATTAAATAATCCGAAAACTTTAGGTTTTAAGTCAAATATTCGGCCATTTTCACAGATTGAACACAACATCATAGCTGAATAATTCAGTGGCACAGTAAATGCTTTGGTTCACACACACATTCTTTATTCCCATTGCATAAGGAAAATATGCCTGCTATTTGTGTGCATATGAAATGGTTGGTCATTAGTGTTGCGCATTGCTCACTTGACCCAAGGGTATGTAATTTATTTCTGGAGCGACCCATCAAAAAGAGGTTGCCTCTTGTCACACTGACAAGCACCCAATCTAATCAGCCTAAATGATGATGGGGTGGACACGTGCTAATTAGCATCAGCAGTCTGAGAATGGTATGACAAAGGACTCTGTGCTTGTCTGGCTTTGTTATTCTACTAACTTCTTGTGCAGGATTTGTGTCAGTAGTTGTAAATGTGCACATTGTACAAATGATTGTGCGCTTTTCTCAGTCCGAATTTATTTATTTATTTACTTTTTACAAAAAAAAACATGTATGAATCATCATGAGTAGCTGAAGCCCATGGGCAGGGTGGCATAAATTCATCAGAGGTCAGACAAGCTGCCCACACAGACACCCGCACACACACACACACTGCGACGAGCCAATAAACACAGCAACGTGCTCCAAATCTTAATGACAATCAGACAGAAATTCCAGCGCCGCTCAAAAACAATACGAGGTAACTCGAGCTGGAGTAGAAACAAGGGCTCAAAAGAGGCGTGCAAAGAAACAGCCTTTCCATCTGTAGCCCATTTCAAGCCAGTCTGTTGACAATGATTGCATTTGAGACCGACAATGTTCATCTGAGACGCAGAACTCTCCAGCAGCACAATGAAAGCACTTCTGAAGCTTTTTACTGACGTGTCATCATCAGCATCTCATCTCGCCCTGGCGAGTGTGTTTGTTTGCTGCAGTTTGGATTAATGAATGAATGCTTCTAAGGGAGCTCTTGAGTGAGACCAGAATAAGCAGCGCAAGCTTAAGAGAGCACAGAGCATAAAAATATCAAAACAACACAGTGAGCATTGTGGGAGTTTTATAAGCAGCATGACCTGCAAGGTTAAAATTGAAAAGTTGACGGTAATATGAAATTCCTTTCACTTGTACTTCTTCCTTATTTTGCCTCCTCGTGCACAACCTTAGACAGAGAGCACTGACACATCACTATCAGTGGTCATAATGATTTTCTCCGTGTATCTACAGCACTCAGTTACCTCACAGCATAAATGAGGGAGCTTCGTGTATCGCATTTAGCTTCGTGGTAAATGTCTCCAGATGTCTGCATATATTTACATTACAAAAATGCAGTTTATGAGCGTTTCTTTCGAGATGAAGTCAGCGGTTCAGTGAGCCTCACGAAACCTTCATCGTTTTGACAGACGGTGAAAGAAGTGTGAGAG